ATATATATATATATATATATATATATATATATATATATATATATTCTTTTTATTTTAGTACGCTATGGTGTGATAAATTGGTGACAGAATTGAAACAAAACAGCAAAGTGATGATAAATTTAAGAAACAACAATGACCAAGAATGTTTTAAGATCTATTTAGGTTCAAGCCATTACTTTTTCCACTCAACAACAGTACTTTATTGTTGGATTTGTTGAGCAAATGTCCACTTTGCTGGAAAGTGTACATTGCAACTTTAACTCAAGAGTACAGTAGCTTATTTCAATTTAATCCTTTGGCAAACTCATGGCATGTACTTTGATTACCTCTAAAAGTATGTAATGAACAAAGTGACCATTATCTGTCAATCATATTTCCTTTAACCTTAGCAGATTCTGGCCTGTACGGAAACAAGAGCGACGAAGAGCTGAGTGAGCTCAGAAAGAATGTAGATAGCGATGAAGGCAAGTCTCCGGAGCCTTGCAAGGATGATCAACCCAAGAAGAAACACAGACGCAACCGCACAACCTTCACCACCTACCAGCTGCACGAGCTGGAACGCGCCTTTGAGAAGTCCCACTACCCAGATGTCTACAGTCGGGAGGAGCTGGCCTTGAAGGTGAACCTCCCTGAAGTCCGAGTCCAGGTGAGATGGGCTGCTCCAGCTTGACCTGCAGTTAATAGTTTAGTGAGCACAAACACATAGATATGAGATTTTACCGAAGATGTCAAAAGTGTAAATGTTTATTATTCAATTAGAAGTATAAATCCCACTGTTTCAAAACACCTTTGTAGAAGTTGGAGTATTAACTTAAGCTTTTTACTCAAGTAAAAGTGTAAAAGTACCATTTTTAAAACTACTTGAACTGTAAAAGTAAAAGTAATGCAGGAAAACATTATAAGGACAGATGCTTTACTGCACTACCCAATTAAAGGAACATTTTTCTACAATTCTGGATGATAACTTTGCATCATCTTGAAAATATATTTTGGTGCAGTACCGAGTCCAACCACAAAGAAATTCCTTTTTTTTGGATGAAACAAATTATTTTGTTAGTTTTAAAATAAAAATTAAATAAATAAATAAACATTGACTATAGATATATAGACAAGTGAAGCCTGCACTGCTTCACTGCTTCAGATAATGTTCCGGGTTATTGTGACCTCGTGGATTCATTTAAAATGACCTCTTGGAATGATTTTGGTAGACTGACCACTCCTATGAAGGTTTACCACTGTTCTGTTTATGCTCTCTCCATTTTGGGACATTGGCAAGCATGGCTCATCTATCAGTCCTTTTCTAGACTGATATCAGTCACTTTGTCTCTCACCTTTTCCTGAATGTCTTCAGATCAGGCCATGATCTGTTACTTTATGAGACAGTTTAGCCAAACTTCACTTTTTAGACAGGTTCTGCTAATGTAATTACTTAATTGTGCAGGTGAGCCTAGTAAAAGTGAAATCAACATTTGCAGTTATTTCCATTACTAAATGAAATACTCAACTAGAAACTGCACTAACTAAAATATCACTAGCTTTAATTTATTTTTGATTACAATCAACTGTTTCTTTTGTAGGTCTGGTTTCAGAACCGCAGAGCTAAATGGCGTCGGCAGGAAAAGATGGACGCAAGCACCATGAAGCTTCACGACTCCCCTATGCTCTCCTTCAATCGCCAGGCTCCAGTTCACACCAGCATGGGCCAAATAACCAACTCCCTCCCTTTGGATCCTTGGCTCACCTCTCCCCTGTCCAGTGCCACACCTGTCCAGTGCATCCCAGGCTTCATGGGTCCAGCTCAGGCACTCCAGCCCAGCTATTCCAGTCATGGATTCCTCAACAGCGGACCCCATGCCCCTCACCCACACTCTCACCCTCATCCTCCCACTGGACAGGGGATGCAGAGTATGGCACCTCCACCTTACCAATGTCCAGCCCCATACTCGGAAAAGTTTCCTCTAGAGGACGTAGACCAGCGCAGCTCGAGCATCGCTGCTTTGAGAATGAAAGCCAAGGAACACATCCAATCAATGGACAAGACCTGGCAACCCATGTGACCAGCACATTTGACAGCCTGTGTCAGTGACAATCCTGGGGAAAAGGAGATAATGAAAATCATGCCTGCTCTCACACAACATTAGGATTAAACTGAGCTGTGAAAACTGAAGAACCTTTTTGTTACTTTCTTTTAATCTTTTAATATTCTTCTCTCATCTCCAAGACATAGAGGAGTTCACCACTGTGAGGCTGCATATTTGGTTATCTGTTATTCCTTTAGATCTTTTGTGCCTTGGGTGCCGTAAATGTAGAGACTCCAACTAGGGTCATCGTACCTTGCACCCAAGAAACTATTGGATTTCATTTTTTTTTTTTTTTAAGTTTATTTAAAGCTCCCAGACCAATTAAGTCATACACTTGAAATTAATTATTATTTACTATTTAGAACTTTGTTTTTTAAATTTTTCTCATTACAGCCTCATTGTTTTCTATCTGAATTTTATGGACAACACAAAATAGTGTTTGGTTATAAAGTGGAAGGAAATATTATAGTGTTAAATATTTGTTTACACACAGAGAAGAAGAAAAAGAAGAAGTATGGCTTACATTTGCAGCTAAAAGTCCTTTGGAGTATCTCTCCACCAGCTCTGCACCTCTAGGGATTAAATTATTCCCCATTTTCAGCTGAAGCTCATTTAGAATAGATGGGTGCTGGCAGTAACTTAAGCTGTAGATTTTAAGCTGAATTTAGGGACAGACTTCGACTTGGCCATTCTAGCACATTTTTAAGTTGTCTGCAGCCTTTAACAAGTTTTCTTTAAGGATTCCATTACAGTTAGCTCCTTCCATCTTTCTATAAACGGACCAGCTTCTCAGACCCTGCTACAGAATGACATCCCTGCACTATGATGTCACCGCTTAGTTTCACCAATGAGGTGTTCAAGGGAATTTGTAATGTTATTTTTGCCTCTTTATTATTTTTCATCTAGCTGAAGGGTTCAGTTTTATTCCCTCTCAGTGGAGCACCTTCTCTTACATGTATCCTCTCTGCTCATTACATGGATTGTGGCCTTGTGATGAGAGATTCTTTAGAACATCCTTCTAATGACTTCCTTTAAACAATAATTTCACCATTTAATCAATTTCATAGAGGCCAGACTTGTGCAGTGTACAACTAATAGTTTTCCTGTCAACAGATTCTGCCACCTGAGCTGTAGATCTCTGTGGCCCCTCCAGAGTGACCATGGCCATCAACATCTCGCCATGAGCTATTTACCTTTGTGCTTAAGCCGTTGAGGCTTTCGCTATTTTGCTGTGTTCACACCAGGGTTGGATTTGAAACAACAGGACACCATTTACTTATTTTCTTATTTTTAGAGGATTATGATCAGGGGTATTAGAATTTTTGGTATGTATTGCAAATGTATGCCAGAGTTTTCACATTTTTTGTTTTCTGAAAGGTTAAAGAGAACATGCATCGTTATCTTTCCACTTTATATTTATAAGCTACTTTGTGTTGATCCATCACTTGAACATCTGTCAAAATACTTTCAAATTTGTGGAAAGCGGGATGAATACCTTTGCAAGGCACTGAATCAGAATGGTTTGTGTTCTGCTTAGAGCTTGTAGCTCAGATACTGTGAGGTCACTGGAAGAAAAGGTTGCAGAGGACATTTAAAGCTCTATAGGCTTGGGGATGTTATTCAATTTATGAATGGAAACTGTTGCAAAGATTTAAATTTAGTGGAAGAAAACATCAAAGACATGTTGCCATCTTTTTGGACCAGACAATCTAATCCTGGTTCTCATCTGATATACTGCTTTAAATAAGAAAGGGAAATCTGAATCAAACAGGCAAACAAGCAAACCAACTTGTTGTTACTTGAGTGACAGTTTGAATAGAAAACATGTTGATAACTCTATGCTGGTTGGCTGAGCGTACGTGCAGTGTAGCAGAAAGACTCCTATCTGATGCGTCACCCCGCATAGTTTGGTCTTTGTTTGGCACAATTGATCCAAGTGTATCCTCTTTGTCTGGAACTAAAGGGGGAGAAACGGTCTCAGGCTTGGCTAAATGGGCCCATTTTATTATGGAAGTTTCCTTTTTTTTCCCTCCCTGTTGATCAAACGACAAGAAGCATGGATTGTGGGTTACAGTTATTAGGGGCACAGAATCAGTCTTTTACCATCTGTTACACCCTTGAGCACTAATTATCTTCAAGGTAGATTATGTCAGTTGTAAAAATCAATATAAAACTGACAGCTCAGTTTTAATTAGTAGAGTTACTGAAACCTGACAGGTAAAAAAAACTTGACGGAAAAAGAAGGAGAGGAAAAACCATTATTTTACAGTAAAATCTCAGAACCTCTTTTATCTTTCTGTTATTCCATCCTTTCTTGTTGGAATATTTCCTTATACTGCAAACTTTATATAATTCCAATCCTTAGATATTTTGATAAAATGTACTTTTCATGCTGCTCAGAGACAGAAACAGTTTTGAATCTGCTGCTTGTTTTTAGCGCTCATGTTTTCTTTTGTTCCATTGGGTTAGTGGTGTTTTTACAGAGACCGAGGATTACCTTTGCACATTAGAAGGTTTATTTAGGATGCAACAAAAATGTGATTTGGGACCAAGAACAAGCCAAAGTCTAAGTAGTAATTAAAAAAAATGCTCTAGAATTTTTTTTTTTTTTTTTTTAGTTTTGTGTTATTTTTTCTATGTGAAAATGTAAAAGATATTGTAATTGTTATAGTTACATTGTTTTGTTCCCTATTAATTATGTCTGGATCATCAATGTTCACATATTGTAAGCGTAATAAAAATATAGTTTGATAGAAAGGTTTATTTGTACTTTTTCCCTTCGCAGAGCTTTCATGTTGACCTTTCACTACTCCTTCCCACACACCTCTCTGCGACTTAAGAGCAGTCCAAGATTACTACAGTATAATCGTTATCATCTGACATACATTCTTTCTTTTCAGCCAAACGCTTGTGTTCCACGTCCCTCTCTGTCATGTAAGGGCCCTTTTATTCCTCTGCCCCTTCTTTTGCTCCATGGTTTTTTTGGCAGAGGGCCAGCCTGTTAGGAAGATGAGACTCCAATCAATCAGGGCTCCCCAGGGGGGCCTCCGACCACAGGACCAGGGCTCTTTAATTGCCCTTAGGCAGGCAGGTCTGCCGGCAGGGTGAGCCGCTGCTGCACATGTTCACAGAGGGGACCGGTGGCGCTATGCTCACTGTCCCTGTGCAGAGTATGAATCACTTTCCTGAGCAGATGGAGTTCTGAATAGGCCCTAACTTTGAGCAACATATGGATGAGCAAGAGGATGCAATGATTTTGACTTGTTTAAAGGAGACAGATTGTGTTTACTACACTATTTGTTTACTGTCAACCTCTAATTGACAAAATTGTCAAACAGAGCTAGAGATCTTTTAAAATGTTGAATTTTTTATGTCAAGTACATCGTTTTTCTCACAGCTATGCAAAGCTCCAGCATCCCTTTGCTCTGATCCTAATAAGATTAACTTCGGATTTTTTTTTTTATTGTTTGTTTGTTTTCCTAAAAACTGATATTTGACTCCCTGATATCTAATGAATTAGTTGTACAACCTAAGAAATTATGTTTTGATGTGAAAGTCCTGTGATCCACAATAATCTCATCAGCATATTACTGAAGAATGTAATCTAATCCCAAAAGAAGACAGAGAGCTCAACATTAAAACTACAGAAATACTTCAAATACATTTAAAACTTGCAGTTCTTACAAAATATTTATACCCCTTAACCGTTTCTAGACAAAACTTTAATGTATTCCATTGGAATTCTATGAAAATATGAAATACAAATTTTCTGGCAAAACAACAAACCTATAAGGATTTGATGATTCATCTAGACTTACAGGGCAGCTAAGGAAAGCATTGGTTAGATAAACAATTATCATCCAAGAGGCCAATAGTATGCTTGGAGGAGCTGCTGAATTCCACTGTTCAGTCGGGATCATCGGTTAAAAAGACAACTATTAGTTATTCTGTCACCAAGGTTCTACTGGGCTTTACAAGTTTTTTAATATATTATTCATTTTTTCATCTCAGAGGTATTTTTCCTAGCCAAAAATAAAAGCAACAATAACAGCCATTTAAAAATGTAAGGGAGTCTGAAGGGAAAACAGTCAAACATTTTAAATCTTAAAAAGAAGATTAGGAATGAGAAGAGTGTGGAGCTGTAAGAAAAACACACACAGAGCAGAGGAAGAGAGTAGAGGGGAGGGAACTCATTGGAGTTAATGATGTGGAAAATCCCCCAATTAGAGCATTTTCTTGAGCTTCAGGATGAGTTCAAAATGAGGTCTTCTGACAGCTTCGGGATTAGTATCCAGGTTAGGCTGAGTGGACCTGGGTCCAACCGGAAACCTACTATTTGTCTGCTAGGTGAGTGCGATCCAGGACTTTGGGGCAATAATCAGGAGCTGTGGCAATTATGCAATAGGTTAGAGGTACAAATAAAAGCATGGAAAAAAACCATAGATGAAGAGATTTATTAAAAATAAACTTTTATGTGAACAGTTTAATTACACAAACTCAATACAATGATATACTTTGTCTTCATTAATAAAAATGTATTCATTGTATTATAACAGTTTAATACAGAAAATATTTATTATTTTATCTGTCCTTTCATTTTTCTACATTCATTCTGTTTAGAGAAACAAGTTAGCATCTGTTTGACCAATTCCCACTTCGGCAGGGTCCCTGCAGTCTATGGGCGATGGCAGGGCATGACATGTAACACTCTACAAAAAACGCAAGAACAAGGAGCAATATGGATGGACCAGTTAAATTAAGTTGCATGTCCTTTGACAGTGAAAGCAGCCATTGTATCTGTAGAGAGCTGATTTCCATAATTCATGTTCTTTTTCTCGGAGGCCAGTGGTTAGAGAGGGGTTTCAGTCTTGTTTTGGTGTTTCCTGCTCAGGTCCTGGCTCTTTTCTGCTGAGCGTGCCCTGTTCCTGTTTTCCAACTGAATGTTTTTGCCTGAACTCACTGTAGGACTCATGGAACCCTCAACCTGCCTAAACGCTCTGTGGATTCCTGGATCCCTGGACCTGTCTATTCCTGTTCTGATCGGAAGACCTCACCGGGTTGCAGGTTCCTGGATCTCTGAGTCTTCTAGTTTTGAGCTGTTTCCCTGATCTGGCTCGGACTCCTGCCTGTCCACTGAGGCTGCTATCGGCGACACTCTGGGTGGCTTCTGCTGCATCTCATTGGCATCTGCTGGATCCTGCCGCTCCTGTGAAGATGGACTGAACTATTAAACCAGGTAAGTGACTCACATGGATATTCATCTTTTGTCAGATTATCATGGTCACTTACCTGTGTTTCTCCTTAACCAGAGTACCAGTGAGGGGTGGCCCCACCTCCCCCTGCAGCTGCTGCAGTTCCACAGATACTCAGCTCTGCGTTCAATTTGTGTTTGTTTTAATAAACATCTTGAACTTTCCCACTTTCTGTCTCGCCTTGAATTCTGGGTCCTACATTCTGAGCCCCTTGACAAATATGTTATTCAACTCTGCAAATATGTGCAGATGGCAGCAGAATAAGTGATTGACTAAAACTTGCACAAATCAACATACAGAGAAATGTTTAACCTTTTAAACAACTATAACTGATAAAAACTGCACAGGGATCCAAGTTTGTCTGACCATTACATCCAGTGAAGAGCACAGAGAGTATGTATGATGAAATATAAGGCTAAATCTAAGAGATTTTTGAGTGTTCGAGTGTGTTTATGCAAACAAAAGTAGATTTTTTTACTAATTTTCCGACACTGAAAAGTAAAAGTGAAAAGTTCCAGTGGTGAGACATCATCCCGTTATTGCTTCAACTCTTGAGATTCAGTTTGTACACTGCTAAAAAAAATAAGAAAAAAAAACACTAAAATAACAGATCCTAGATCTGAATGAATTAAATATTTTTAATTGAATACAAAGTTGAATGTGCAACAAATCACACAAAAATCATCAATGGAAATCAGATGTATTAACCAATGGAGGCCTGGATTTGGAGTCACACACAAAATTAAAGTGAAAAAAATACACTACAGGCTGTTCCAACTTTTATGTAACTACCTTAAAACAGGCCTGTACGACCTCTCTACAACCCCTAGGAATGCTCCTCGTGAGGTGGCAGATGGTCTCCTGAGGGATCTCCTCTTAGACCTGGACTAAAGCATCCACTAACTCCTAAACAGTTTGTGGTGCAACATGACATTGGTGGATGGATCGAGACATGATGTCCCAAATGTGCTAAATCAGATTAAGATCTGGGGAACAGGCGGCTAGTCCATAGCTTCAGTGCCGTCATCTTGCAGAATATGCTGAAACACTCCAGCCACATGAGGTCTAGCATATGGTCTCACAAGGGGTCTGATGATATTGGTACCTAATGGCAGTGATGCTACCTCTGGTGAGCACGTGGAAGGCTGTACAGCCCCCCCATATAAATACCACGCCACACCATTACTCATCCACAGCCAAACGGGTCATGCTGAAGGATGTTGCTGGCAGCAGACTGCTCTCCAACGTGTCTCCAGTTTTTGTCATGTCTGTCCTATGTGCTCAGTGGGAAGCTTTTTTCATCTGTGAAGAGCACAGGGCACCTGTGGTAAATCTGGTGTTCTCTGGCAAAAGTGTCCTGCATGCAGTTGGGCTGTGAACATTTGGCCCTTATACACTCCTCATGGAGTGGGTTTCTTACACATGCACATTTATTGCATGCTTGAAATCATTTTGCAGGGCTCTGGTGCTCCTCCTCTTCCTCCATTCACAAAGGTGGTGGTAACGGTCCTGCTGCTGGGTTGTTGCCCTCCTACAGCCTCCTGCACATCTCCTGGTCTACTGACCTGTCTCCTGGTTGCACCTCCAGCCTTTGGACACTACGCAGACACAGCAAACTTTCTTGCCACTGCTGGCATTGACGTGCCATTCTTGATGAACTGCACTACCTGAACCACATGTGGGGATTGTAAAGTCCGTCTCATGCTACCATGACTGTGAAAGCACCATCAACATTCAAAAGTGACCAAAACATCAGCCAGAAAGCATAGGTACTAAGAAGTAATCGATGATCCACACCTGCAGAACCCCTCCTTTATTGAATGTTTTTTGCTAGTTGTCAATAATTTCCCCCTGTTATGTATTCCATTTTCACAACAGCATGTGATATTGATTGTCAATTGGTGTTTTTTCCTAAGCTGACAGTGTGATTTTACAGAAGTTTGATATAATGGAAATTATATTGTTTTGTCTAAGTATAAGCGAGCAGTGTATTTTTCCATCTCATTATAAGATTTGCTGCCCTAAAGGTTAATGAATTACCTTCTTCAGTAATTTCACATAATGTACAGATTATTTTTTTACCCGGAGAGACACTAAATGCTACAAATTTGTAAATACTCTTCTTAAAAAAACTGAAAAAACTAATTTATGAGAGCTTTAGAATTATCAGGGTTTCTGTTACGACTTCTTGGAAGTTGTGATGCTGTCGTCATCTGAGTCACATGCAGAGACAAACACAGTCTGACTAAACTAACAGCACATTAACACAACTCATGACCTTAAGGGACAGACTAGAAGAGGTAAGAGTTCTTGTGAGATTACGACTTCTTCGAAAGCAACGAGGGAGTCAGATGGTACAATTAAGCTTTGTGGTCCTTGTGTGCCCTTAAAATACGAGAACAGGTAAACCCAACTAATTAGATGATGAGATTACAGGTGTGGGTTACACACGTGCCGCTTGCTATATATAAAGGTATGCACCTGGTCATAGATGTAATAGCAGAAAAGACATGTGCAAACATTCCTGCACTTTAAACCATTCACTGAAAATAAAAGATATAAACTGTTAAATGTTTATGAGTATAAGTCTGACTTGTTTTGTAAAGTACCACATTATTTACTCTTGGCTGTTGGCAAGACTGATTATCATGAGAAAATATGTGGTGTTTCTGTTAAATTATCTGTGGATAAAAAAAACAGTGTGTAACTTTTAGCCACTAGCGGGATTTTGTTACTTCCAGGTTTCGGGCCCCTGAAAGCAACTGACATCACTTCGGGGTCGCAAAATTAAACATCCTCCCTCATGCTTTGAAATTTGTTAGCGGACCACTTTGGTCCAGTAGACTGAAAGCTTTCGGAGTTATTGGTAAAGACAAGGGCACACTTATCCCTCTACATTATATCCTAGATCAGAGAACACAAATTATATCTGTCTATAAAGCTGCACTCATTGTTGCACGACTCATTCAGTGATTGATCCGGCCCTTTAAGTCACGCAAGCGGGTTTTGGAAGAGAGAAGCCACAGCACAGAGCATCAATGCGCACCTGTATAGCAAACCTGAAAAATAATTTTATATATTCTAAATTAAGTTTAGAATTTTTGCAGTGTTGTTTAAAAAAATATTTTGTTATGTTGACCGTGTTAAAATGATATGTGCAATAAAGGTGTCAAATACACACAACTTACAGCTCTTCACAGTATTTTAAAGCTGTCTTTCCTGACTATGGAGGCCAAGAGACACAACTTTTTATTTAAAAAAAGTTTTCATGCATCTACTTTCTAAGCACCATCATAACTTGCCATATATATGGCACAATGACTTGACAAAAATGTGAATCTCATGCTACTCTATGCAGATGTTCTCTCTTTACTGATGAACAATGACTGGAGGGGCTCACATGGCACAGAAATCAGTCCCATATCCTGATTAATTGCTTAAACATTTGACCATTGTAGAGCACTAACATTCTGTCTTTGGACCATTTAATTTAGAGCAGAAGAAGCTCAGAGAATAAGGACAGAATCATTTTGACAATGTTATCAGGGAAAACTGATTTAACTTACCCTGTGTCTACAAAGTAGCACCATGTATGCTGTACACCCTATATTATCTATGACTGGTAATAAATAGCAGCATTAGGGATTAACCTGAAAATGTTTCAATAATAAAAGTCGATAAACTCTGATAAACTATTTGCGAGTTGAATGACCTATAAGCATGAAGGATAACTTTAAAGCTAAAAAGCATATCGTCCTTGTTTGTTAAATGGCAACCAGCAGTGCAAGACACAAGAGTTTGGTGGTTTTCTGTGCAGCTTTATCCCCCCCAAAACAAATCAGAAATCAAGGCGCCTGTGAAAACACATTCTTGGTGGGGGCAACACACCTTGTAGACACCTTGACTTACCTTAGCTCCAAAGTTGCTGTTTTTATCAAAAAGAACAGAGATGACAAATACTAATTGGTTAATTATGCACTGTATTATTTTGCTCCTGAGCTCCTGTAGATCTGAGGGGACCACGGCTGGAGTTAACAGTCTTATTGGAAAGACGCGCTCCTCACACAGGATAATAAGGGAAAATAGCAGAATTAATTGGGTTTGATTAAGAGAGCCTTTCAATGGGACACAGCTTTTTCGCATGACATAATTAGAGGTCAGTTAAGGGTGGGTGGAGGGGTGAGAGGGGGGATTTGGCTGTTGGCGCCAGTCCTTTGGGGGTGTGTCTGCAAGTGTGACTTGTGTATGCATGGGCGGGTGTTTCTTACATAGTGGGGACCATTTTTCATAAATCATAGCACATCGTGGGGACTGACTGCTCTGGTGGGGAGCAGTGCCTGGTCTCCACTGGAACAAATGCTGTTTTAGGGTTACGTTTGGGGCTAAGGTGTGTCCTTTACCGACATGTTTATCAAGCGAATCGTGCAAAGTCGATTATCCAATGCTGTCAGCTGGGCTTACTTAGACAGAAAACTTTTACCAATACTGTCTATATAATTTGATAGGACTGATGGAAAAATTGGTGCCATAATTGAATTGAATTTAATGAAGTTGAATTGAACTGAGCAATGCTTCGTTATTTATTTATTTATTTTTTTAAGCTTGGGTATTGTGTTATGCTTTTAGTCTGTATTAAACCTCTCCAAAAACCTCCCCACATATCTGCTGTGTTTCTTGGACTTCATGATGCTGCTCGTTCACTAATGTTCTTTAATAAATTTATTAAGCTGTTGCAATAAAGCTTAATTTATACTGGGATTAATGCATGGGGGCTTGATTTTATTTGTCAATGTTTATCAAAGCTGGCTCAAATTGAAATCAAAACATGCCTTTGTTTTTTTGGGAAAAAATACATCCATTTCCTTCCACTCCACAATTAGTATCTACTTTGTGTTGATCTACTTCATAAAATCAAAATTAATATCAATGAAGTTTGTGGTTTTAATTTTTTGTTGTGGTAAATTTTAAAGATGAAAATCAGTATGAATTGTCCAGTGATCATACTGTTGCACAAAGATTTTCCAGTTTTTGGATGCAAGAAATAATTTAATCCTTCCCAACACACATTCACACACTCAAAACATGATTGTGTAATCTGGCTAAAAAATAATCTACAACTAGAGAGTAGATCTAAAAATAAATTGGAATCTCAACCAGCCTTTACACTTGATTAGATTATCAAACATCTCATCAGGCTTCAGCTTTTTTCCACAGCACCTCTATTGATGCTTGTCAGCATTTTAGAAGGATTTGCAAACAAATTGAGCTCTTTTAGGGGCATGATTTTTCTAGGAGCAGCCAAAGGCCGGAGGAGGTCCTGTTTTCGGGGAACGGGGGATTTCATCCCTGTTTTATTTGGATGAAATGTTTCTCCTGCTAAGACCTACAGCATACGCTGGTGCAGTTTGCAGCAGTTCCAGTGCAAAGCAGCCGGGATGAATATCAGCTCCTCCCTATCTGAAGCCATGGTTCTCAATTAGAACAGAGGGTATTTCCTTCTACAGGTTGGAGGAGAGCTCCTGCGTCAAGTTGAGGAGTTTAAGTATTTTCTGTTCCTCATCACGAGAAGGGATAATGAAGCAGGAGATCGAAAGGGGGATTGGTGCAGCTGCGACCATGATGCGGACGTTGCACAGATGTGTTGTGGTGAGGAGGGAGCCAAGCCAAAAGGCGAAGCTCTCATTTACAGGTCTATCTACAATACTACCCTCACCTAGGGTCATGGGAACTGGTTTGTGACTCAAAGAAGGAGATCCTGGATAAAAGTTGTCGAAATGAGCTTTCTTCACAGAGTGGCCAGGCACTCCGTTAGAGAAATGGTGAGGAGCTTGGCTTGCAGCAAGAGGATTGGAAAAGAGGCCTAGAGGATGGCCAAGAACACACTGATCTCTGTGCTGGCCCTGGAACGCCTCAGGGCCTCCTGCTGAGGAGCTGAAGAAGGTGTCTGGGAAGAGGAAGGTCTGAGAAACTCTGCAGAGACTGCGGCCCACATCACACGGTCCTGAATAAGCGAAAAATGAGTGAGAGTATTGTATTGTATTTTATTGTATTGTACTGCGCTGTTTTATACTGTATTTATTTGTATTGTATTGTATTCCATTCTATTCCAAATTAAAGAAAATATTTTAGAATATCTGTCATTGTAATGTTAAACCTCATTAGTGTATTTTGTGTTTCTTAAAGAGTCATTCCTGCAAAGTCAATGATTGCATGCTATTAGTTGGGTTTCCTCAGATAGAAAATATTAGTTATCACCTATGATTTGATTAAATAGTATATGTAAAGCGCCTTGACATTAATTATAATTTGCCTCTATATAAACAAACTGAACTAAATTAGATTGGCTTTTGTACCATTTATATTCTTTGTGTTTTCTAAAGGGATTTATTTTTTTATTTTTCTCTTCTTTATTTCTCTCTGCTCCTGAGCAGTTATACCATATGAAAGATACAGTACTTACAGTATAGCTGTAACCACATAAGTTATTTTTAAATGTGATCACCGATAATTGCTTCAAAGGGTTTATATGAATTCAGGGTGGAACTGTTTTTTTGCAGTGGATCAGGTGCGCCCTCTATGTCTTAAATCTGGAAATTACATATTTCAATGTATGGCTTAGTTTTGCATTATTTTTGTCAAAATCTAGTGGGGGAAAAAATGCATTAACTTGCTGCATCATGTCAGAATATATTCTATATTCTGATATGATCTGTGAGTTTGTTTTGCAGTTATACACATTTTAAGTAGATATATAAAATAGGAGTCCAAACTTTACTACTAATAATTTGTTTTAAATTTTCCATAAAGGGTAAGAATAGACATACTGTCCCATGGCAGCAAGCGAGGCATCCCCATACTGTGAGTTAGGAGAGGCCTTCTTTATTAGTATCCATGATTCAATAAATAGTTATTATATAACATCATTTAGTATAGCGTAGCTGCTACACTATGTGGAGCAGATCTTTTTCATCAACTAGGACCACATTTTTTTTGTTTTTTGGGCTTCAAAGACCAAAATTAGTGTAGATAGTAAATGCTTTCCCACAGGCTCAGAACCTAGATGCATCTATTATAAATGATTGAAGACCCAGTGGCACAGTGGGTAGCACTGCTGCCTTGCAGGAAGAAGGTTCTGGGTTTGATTCCTGGCGTGGGTCTGGGTTCTCTCTGGGTCCAAAAAACATGACTGTTAGGTTAATTGGCTTCTCTAAATTGTCCTTGGATGCAAGTGTGTGCATGAATGGTTGTTTGTCCTCTTTGTCTCTGTGATGGACTGGTAATCTGTCCAGGGTTTACCCTGCCTCTCTCCTGTAGACAGCTGGAGATAGGCACCAGCACCTCTTGACCCCACTTGGGATTAAGTGACTAAGAAAATGGATGAAGATCCATATCCAAAAAAATATGACAAAGATAACTAAGAAGCAAGTTGAAAAATCCACCCCTTAATGATAAGAATTTCTTCAATGCTTTCTTATCAGTCTTTAGAACATTTAAATGATCTAAATCTTAATAGTGAAAGGTCTAAAAATGTATTTCCTTTTGTAATTTCTACTGTGCTTAACACATTTAATTACAGAATACTCATTGATAAACTTATATAAATAATGGGATTATTTAGTACTATGCTAAAATGGTATAAACCTTACTTGATAGATCACTAAACTGGCTCAATGTTTTTCAATAATCATGTTTGATAATCATAAATCTCTGCAAAACAATAAATAGCGAGTTTCTTTTAGGGTCCATTGTCTGGACAATTATATTTAACATTCATAAAGCCAAGACCAGGATTGAGAATATTAGTATAAACGGTAAATGAACCAAACAGATCATTTTTTTCAAAATAATTTTAACAGATGTTTTTGATATAACAAATTGCTGTGTTATCCCATGTTTGTATTTATTTTAGTTGTTTTTTTCTGTCTTTGTTCATTTATGTTTCTGTAGAGCTCTTTAAAAGAAGTTATGTAAAAATAGTGTTATATGAATTAGCCTTTTAATACATTTAATGATAATTTTTTTTATCATATTGCATATAATCTATATATATCAGGGTAAAATCAAGACAACAAACATATACAATTTTTTATATAAAAGAGGAAATACCAAAACACATGATCTATTGTATTTGAATTATTCTTACACACATAGTTTGATCTCTAAATGTCAGTGTCAGGTCATTTCTCATAATTGTCCAGCTTTTCAGCTTTTTAAAACAGACTGTGTTGTCACTTTCAAAAGCATTGCTTTTAAAAATTCATACTGTATAATAGAGGAACAATTCCAGACCTAACAAGGTAAGTTTAAAAGATTAACCAATAACTGAATTTTAATTACTTAGATTAACAAGCCATGAAACTTTTGTTATATAAATATATCAGGACTGACACCATCACATTTAAAAAATGTGTTTTAAACATTTTTTCTTTATGGTTCATGCAATTAAATACGCAAACTTGGTGTGTTTCATTTATGTTTAAGCTGTGTTTATCTATATTTGAAACAATCTCCTAATATAAGACTTATATATTACAAACACAAAAAATCTATTCTGTTTCTAACAGTAATATGCATTTTAGAGAGAATTGGGATTATGCCTGAATGTGTTAATCAGAGACACTTTGTACAGCTATTTGTAGACCTAATTGACATTTAAAATGTGCAATTTACATCAACAGCTCAAAAACATCTCCTATTTTTCCATATTTTGATTTCAATGATTCAGATGATGTTATAGTATTTTGGCCGGACCCAAATTTTACTAGGTTTGAAAGTGATCATTTGTTTTCAGTTTGGTCCCTGTTTCTGACACTGGACTTAAAAAAAATGCCCTATTATTAAGCTGATTAGTTTGTTTAAGTTTTCTGCTAAAAGCAGTTAAGAAATCATTTGGTTTTATTAAAATTATTGTTATTTTTTCTCCAGCTCCATTCATAGTTTTTTTTTATTTTTTATTTTTTGCAGATTCAATTGTGAAAAGAGAAATAGTTTCTTCATGGGAGACTACTATACATAAATGCCCAAGTATCCAAGTTGTTGTCTTGTTATTGAATGAAAGTGCTGCATGGCTTTAAGATATTTTTGCATAAGTGCACAGAGTGAGAAATCAAACAAATGTTCTCGATTAAAGGACAAGGATGATCATTCAAAGCCTAAATTTTAAAAGAGAAATGAAGGATAGTCTCCCGATACAACTTTAGAAGTCATGAAGGAGGCTGTTTTATAAGGAGCAAAAAAAGAAGCATTGTGTATGTGTGGATATTTACTCTTTATAAAATAATAATGTTATTTTCATAACTTTAATACACTTGGTTGGAGATAAAATAATAACATATTCTGTTAAGAGAAGGGAATTAGTTAGTCGAATACAAGAAAATACATTGCAATTAAATATACAAGATATTTTGGATTAACTATCTACTTCTAAATGTTTTTTTTATTTAATAAATTACCTTAAGAAAACGAAATTTATAGAAAGAATATACAATTTATTAACTTAATTATTATAATTTTATTATATGTTATTTTTTTATTTTTGTTTTGTGGGAGAATTTACATATATCATCCCGAACCACACTTCCTTCCAGTAGATGGCGGTAGTGCGCATCAATAAGTTGCTTACCCACTGCCATAAAAAGGAAGAAGAAAAAATGTGTTTAACAACTGACTTTAAAGATAGGGGGCGCTGTCTCAACGGAAACGCACACCGGAAGTTTGGTGCACGGGCGGGAAGTTGAAACTACAAATATTTCAAAACATTTCTGTTTGTTATCATTAGAGTCGCGATAGGTTGTGGAAGGCTTTTATCTAGCTAAGTAGGTTTGAATATGCAGGAAATCAAATACTATATTCTAGCAAACGTATAGAAGGTCCTTTTGTGGCCAACTTTAGCTAGCTCGGCTTAACTGGCTGATAATTAGCATGGCGGATAGAAATCTGGTGAAGGAGCTGAAACGCTGGGCAACAGAGGAATTTAATCTTCCCCCGGACAGTCTTCCCAATGACAACTATTTGAAAACGTAGGTTAATACGAATTACTACATGTAAAAACGTCTTCGTTTGCAGCTTTGACCTTATCTTGTATTCCCCATAGGCTTTGTGTTGGTACTGGGAAGTCAATATGGAAATATATGATCCAACATGTTTTCCACCAGAGGTAAGCCCTGCTTTTTATCCTCTCTGAGTGATTACCTTTGTTGTTTTATGTTTCAAACATTATGAAACCCCCTAACTTTTCAGAAAGTGACATTTATTTATCTGCATATAGTGTGCAAGTTTGTGTTGAACTAAATGATATCTTATTTATATGATATATTCTCTTTTTCCCCCCATAGGAATGTGAGGATCATGCGTGGCAATCTTCAGTGGTATCCTTTACTGACAAGCTAATTCTTTTAAACTTGTCTCTATTTGAGAAAATGAACACTTAGCATATTATGTAGTTAGAGAATGCCACTGGTTTAGAAAATTGCCCAGTTAATTCTGGTTAGTCACTATTGTGGATAGCCAACTATTCCTCCATCATAACTTTGACCCTCTTTGATTAGGATTATCATAATATTGTAGATAAGAAGATCTTACAATCATGTTATTTACCCTAAAATACATAAAGTAACAATGTGGTGTAACAAGCTGATATTAGCTGGTTGACTCCGATAGCCAGCCAGACATGCTGCTCTTAGCTTGTACATTAAAACTCTTCAAGACAGTGACCGATTGCTTCTATCAAACAGACTTGTCTGTTCCTTAAACAAAGGAAAAATTACTGTGTTTTCCTCTGATCCATGCTCTGGTCACATTGGCCACGTTCTTTGCCATCTCAATGTGAGGTATTTCTAGTGGAAACATCATGAAGGAATGTTGAGATTTTGAAACAAATTATTTAACTTTGGCTCATGCCCAGTTGCACATGTTTACAGATTATCTACAGTACCTTTGCTGTCCTATGAATCTGTGTGTTACCTACTTTGTTACCTGGTAAAGTCCTTAACTTTCTGACTGAAAAGGTACAAAGTACTACAAGACAAAGAGGTAGACTTTGTTTTTCCTTCTCTCAGTTTGTCTAATTCATTATACAGCTAGTAGAGATTCCGTATTTGTTTTTGTTGTGTTTATGTGCACAGGTGACAAAGGCTGAATGCCAAAGTGAAGCAGCAAAGCGGAAAGAGCTTCAAGCGAAAATAGAGCAGATGAGAGCTGAGATCAGCCACCTGGACTCTCAGATCAGAGGAACGGAGGAACAAGTGGCCTCACAGGGTTCGTCCTTATGTTCTATGAAATCATAAGGGAGCATAACTTTACATTATACTATTTTTAGTCAAGTGATTATGTTGGGTATCAATGTAAACAGGATTGGTGAAGCCAATGTGACGGTTTATAATTTTGTTAGTTTACCCTGTTTTTACTATATATACATATAGACAGGGTTTGAAATTGATTAAAGACTTTTTGCTGAAAAAGGGAATAGCTGCACTGTATTTAGTAAAAATGCAACTTTTATGGGATTGGATATCTTGATGAAAATATTAACTAAATAATAAGCCATTTTGTTTATATTCTGCCTCTTTCTTTTCTTACTTCACTTTGTCCCTAACATTATCTGACGCCTCCTGATCATTATTATCTGTCAGGTGTTGGCATAAGGGCTATGAAAGTTCATCCAACTAATCAAGCATATCAGTGTGTGACATGGCAGTTGAAATACGACAACCTACCAAATAGTCTATTCAAAGTGTACTTACTGATATAACCCAGACTGGTGTGACAGATATGTTTGAGAATAAAAATATTATGCTCTAATTTCTTTTGTATGAAAATTCAGTATTTAACATACTCTCACTTCTTATTCTAGAGCAATCTCTCAATGATATCTGGGTCCAAATAGAGGAGAACCAGACCCGGGAACTACTTCTGAAGGCATTCAGTCAGCGCAGCAACTTCAACCGTAAAGTCCTCCTTGATGATGTGCAAAAGATAAGCAGCCACTGCCTAGCACTCAAGCAGATTGCCAGGTTAGACAGAAATCCACCTAAATAGTTGACACGATTACAGATATTCCAAATATTTTAGGAAATATTTTGCTGCTTTGTAGGAAAGCTGAGTCTGAGGTGCTGTTTGGGGAGGAGCCCTCCAGCAACGTGGTTGATGATAGCCTTAGCTCAAAGGCGGCAGCAGTGCCTCAGGTCCTGGTAGGAGAAGCAGATAAAAAAAATTTAAACTGAGTTTAAGACTATAATTTATTTTGTATCCAAAAAATAATTAATCATTTCTTTTTTTTTTTTTTTTTCTGGTCAGCGTGATCTGAGAGAGCTGAGTGAAGATAGGGTCCACTTCTTTCGCTGTTTACAGGAGAATGAAATAAAAATGCAGCGTTCTGCCCCCAAAAGGTAAAGATGACGGTTTTGAAAAAATCTCACTAATTTATGTTACCTATTGCAGGATTACTCAATTGTTTTCTCTTTCTAGCATGACTCATGAACAGAGGACAGCTGTGTTTCAATATTGGCTTAGTACGGCTGAGGTTGGTGCATTTGGACAAGTGCAAAATAAAGGCCCATTGAGGTCTCAACGTTTAAAACTGATTACCACTTTATTAAAATGCTATTTTCTGTCATTTCATCAGAAAGTGTTAAGTAGTTACCCTCCAAGCCATGTCCTCTCAGCACTGCAGCATCTAGCTGTAACAGAGCAGAAAGCTCTGCAGGACAAACTATCCTCTTTGGATGTTATGCAGGACATGGCAACTCTGCGGTAAGAGAAACTTTGCATGATGTCAATGCATTTTGTTGACCTTGTTTGGCGACAGGTATCTTGTTTGATTTTACAGATTTCGATTTGAAAGTGATCAAGTTTTGGATATCTCAGCAGAGGAATGTGATGAGTTACCTCCTGTTAAGTCTCTCCTGGATGTAAGAAACCACCACAGGCATTTTGGAATTCTCTTTTAAGGCAACTGTGTGTGCTACTTTGTGTCACGTAGGGTTTTAATCATGTTTCTTGTTTCAGGCCGCTTGGGAGGAGGTCCAGCAGAGCTTGATGGAGCTGTCCCAAACTCGCTCCAGGGTCCAGCAACTCAAACATCTGTTGAAGGCCCGTAAAGAGGAAGCTGAACAAGACATGTCTGGTATTGCAGATGAGAACATCAATGAAGGTTTAGCACTGTAAGTCTAACAATAGTACAAGTTCTTGTTTAAGCCACAACTCATTTTTCTCTTAATGAAAATTGTAATTTAGGGACACATAATCTGTCTCTGGATTTGATTGTTCAATTCCCCATGCTTTGTTTAACATGACACCTCTGGACTGTTTTTAGGTTGGTACTGCAGATGGAGCTGCAGTGTGTGATGCAGACAGCAGCTCGGGATCATATCCGAGATCGCTGTGTTCAGCTTGACCAACATGCAAGAAACCGTCAGGAAGCCCTACAGGATCTTCACAGCCAGTGGCAAAGCATTATGGATTTCCGAGAACTAGTGGTGGGGAGGAATGGTTAATATATAACATTGTTCATTGCTGTATAGCAATGAAGCTATAAACATGAATGATTCATTTGCAGGCTCTAAGACAGGAGCAGTTGAGAGGTCTGATTAAAGGAAACTCATCCGCTAAGTCACAGCTGATTAGTCTTCATAAAGAGGTCTGGATGTAATGCCTTTTTCTGTTACAACATACTTTAAATGACCTCACTAATTTTGGAACATGTTTTCTAACATTTATAATGGCTCAATATCCATTTTTGTTTTAGTTGCAGGAGTTTATCGAGGTTAAGCTTGTGCCACAATTTGAGGATATAGTGGCTGCAGCTACCAGTCTACGAAACTCTGTTTCCAAGGAGGCAAAGCAGTTTGGAACAGTTTCAGTTCTTGCTCTGGACCGCAGGACTATGAATGGGTAAAAATGGCATTTTGATTATAGTTGAACATTGTATATCTTAAATTATTCCACATGTATACGATGAAGTTTACTTGATGTTAGATAAACAGCAACCTTTAGGTAATGCAACCAATATGTTTGTCATTCTTTGACACTCCTCAAACAAGCTGATCTTTTTTCTTGACAATGCTTTGAGCTTGTTTTTTTTTTTATTGTTTTTTTAGAGCAATTATAGTTTCAAAGAAGAAAGGAAAAATAATAGAGCAAAACGAGCTGATTTAAAAGGTGGTACAAATGTACATTTAGAAACTCGTAACTAAATGCAATTCAGTGCATGACACTTTATAATCTTAAACATGTTTCACATGTTATGACACTGCAGCGTGATTTTGACTAAGACTGTAAAACTAATAGGAGGAAGCTTATGCATGTGGTTTATTTTTAAGACTGAAACCTCAGAAAATGTGGTTTACATTTGGATTCAGCCTTGAATATATTTACTATATATAGGACTAGTTTTCACTGGAGTTAGGCCTGCATGTTTTTTCACCAACTTTGCGCATTGGATAATTATTGATTGTAGATTCCTAGCAAATAGCTCACATGAAGAATAACGGTAGATGGAGAACAACTATGAGCAGCTTTTTATAGATTGTCAAATATATTTTGTAAAGAAAGAAGCTATTCTAACAATTTGATATGTGTTTTTTGATGCCTGCCCTCTCTCGCTGTGACTGAATGTGTAAGGTCTGTTCTTGGTCAGAAGGTGAACTTTTCTCCTGGCTCAAGACTTTTATGGCCTGTTACAGTTGTTTTTCCTTTCATGCTCACCTTGTATTTAGTGATTAGTTTCCCATAAGCTCGGACTAGTGTATCCCATCCCTGTTTAAAAGGAAAAAAAGCATCCCCACACCATGATTTGCCTCCACTATGTTTACAAGGTGGTATGATCCTAACCCTTCTATAAGCTTCTCCACAGCTTTAACCTGCTGTTTGCCATTTGCTCTTCAATGTGCTCTAACAAACATTTTGAACCTTCAAAGAACATCTGGATTTAGATAAGGATTTCTGATGTAGATGTGTAGATTTTATTATATGGTTAATTTCAGATGATGGCTTTATTTAAATTAACTTATGCATACCACACTTTTCAGAGAACACTTCACGCAAATTACCGTGGAGAAGGAAATAATCAGGTTGCTTTCCTTTTCTCTTTTCAGAACGCAGAGAGTTCCTGCATCTTGGTTGTCCATTCACCGCTTGCAGGCCCCACAGTTCAATAGCTTGCGTCAAAGCCTAGCATTCCCCTTGTATAAGGTATTTGATATTAAAATGATGTACTTTTTTTTCATTATTTATTGCTAAAGGGGTAAAGGACATTTTATTTAGTCCTTTCGGAAGGATTTATTTTGATAATTGCTTCATAAGAGAAACTCTGTCTAATAAGAAGCAGCAGCTTTCAAAGGATCTGGAAATAAGGCACACCCCCTCCCCCTTTGAAAAAAATAAATTTAAAAGGCTACTGTTTATTTTTAAGCATCCTTTTTTATTATGATGCAAAGCTCTGATAACCAAACTGTTGACAGGCTGTGTTACTTACTTACTGAAAAAAAGGTGTTTACATGCAGTGGAGTGTGTCCAGAATTGAGCTGATGCTTATGTTTCTTATATATTTTAGTAGAATAATAGAAATTACATTTATTATTTTGTTTAACCCATGAATACACAGCCTACCAATACCTACAGTCTTCCTTTGGTGGAGTTATTTTCATCAACCATTTTGCTGTGGGGAATTGTGCCAAGCAGATATATATTTTTTTTCCTCACAAGCCAATTTGCTAACTATAAAGTTTAGAGCTAAGGTCTGAATTGAATGCACTTTAGAGTTAGGGTGGTGTATGGAGTGGTAAAGGTCGGGTTTAGGCTTACTTTCAGGGTCAGGGCATAGAAAGGGTTGAAAGTGACTGAAAATTATTGAGAGTGAACACATGGTCCACATATAACAAAATGCAAATGTGTATGATTGGGTGTTTGTGTTGGACAACAATGCTTTGGGTTCAGTTGGCTAATATTGCTGTTGGCTAATATTGCTGTTAGCTACTGATAGCTAACAATACTGTAATGCCTACCTAAATACAATACTGTTGGCCAACAGAAAAGTTGGCTAATCTGTTGATGGAAAAATAAGTTAATAAATGGAGATAATGATGTTGCTTTGTAAAAATGACCTACTGGGTGGTGGAATTGCTGACATCAGATCAGTAAGTTGGACAGTATTGAAAGTTAAAGTTGCATCAGATGTGAGACAGACAGTGTCTAAAAAATTAAAGGTTTGTTGAAAATTCCATACAAACAGCTTCGGGTCATTTTTGACCACACTTATGGAAGAGTGGGCAGTGATACAAAAACTAATTTATAACTAATATAACTAAACTAACTAATAAACAAAAATGCAAATGGCACAAGCATGTTTTATCAACTGCATTTTTGCACCATATATATATTTGTCTTTGCAATGCTCTGAACTTCCATATCAATGTGTGTTGCACTATGTTTTTTTTTTTTCTCCCACTCTGTTTACATTTGTTCACTACTGGACTTGGAATGTAAATGTTCATTTCACTGCTAAGTTGCTGCTCATTTACTGTCTGAAAGCTGTCAAAAATTATATTTCATTTTGTATACACTCTTAGTACACAAAATGACAAAAGTTGTCAAAATGTTTTTATTTGTTTTATTTGGCAAACCTTATTGAATTATACATTTTTATTTTAAAGATTCTAAAGAATTACAACACATTGGGTCATCTAAGGGTTTAAGTGTTGTGAGGTGTGTTTTTTTTACACTAATATTTGTTTTGATTTTGTGCTTAATTTTTTTTAATACTAAGGATTTTCTCATCTGTCTATTAGCACCATTAATTACATTTTGTATCTCATTTACTAACTGATGATTTAGAATAGAGTTTCATGATTATTGGCTATATTTTTTTGGGTTAAATACACATTTTCCTCTCTCCACTCTCACAGTATGTGATGTGGACACTCACTCTCACCCCTAGTGTCTCAGACACTATAATCTGTCTGATGGTGACATTGAATAGCAGGATACCGCATTGGCATGCATAAATGTGCATTTGTAACCCCCCACAGTTATTGCATTCCATGTTGCCCAGTTCTTACTACAAAATTAGAGCCTTTAGTAGGTATTCCAAAAAGAAGAAAATTAAAAACCAGCGCATTAGTAGGTATGTAACTACTCAGGGTAGTTTTGAGGAGATAGTTTTTTTTTTTTTTACATGGCTTCGGTGTCTACCATTTCTTTTTATGTTTGAGATTTTTCATAGCGACTTCTTTTCCATACCTATGTTCCAGGCTCCAGAGGAGTTGTGTTCCCAGCTGCGAACCCAACAACTTGAGCTACGTTTTCTGAGGGAGTTGCTGCTGCTTTATTCAGCCACACTGCAGAAAGTGGAGAAGGACTCTGAACAACTACATGCACCTGATCAAAAAGGTATAAAAGTCAATTGAGGAAAAAGTGCTGTTCTTTGATTAAAAGCTATACTTGATGGAAAATTATATATTTAGCTGTATATAAAATGTCTTAACTGTTTTCCAGCTTTGCTGTCCAAAGTCAGGGATGAGGATCAAAAGCTTCTAAAATCATTGCTACCAAGAGCCCGAGGTCTCACCCACCACTGTGCCCAGGGTCTTTCTTATGGTGCCCAAGTTAAGACCGCCATCTCTTACTGGTGAGGAAAACTTCTGAAACAGAAAACTGGCTTTAAATTGATTTATTAAAATTTGTACTTATAAAAGTAACTTTTTAAACCTGGTTGTGCTTTTAAAAGGTTTTTGTTCCTCCAGTTATATTAAACCTCTTACATGAGATATCTTTTGCAGTATGCTTATTACTTAAACAGTACCTGCCAGGGAAACTGAAAGCATTAAGCTAATGATCCAATAGCATTTAATGAATAAGCTGTGGACAAAAATTTCAATACACAGTAAAGTATTAGATTTCAAAGGCTTAAATGTTTACAAAGAGCCAGGCCTTCAGTCAGTTCCCTTCTTGACCAGTTCATACCCACATTTTGCTCCCAACCATTGTCATCTCTATCCTTCATTTACTCATACTGTACTTGTAAACAAACTGAATTTGCTTCGTTGTACTTTGCTTTGTAATAACTATTTTCTCTTGGTAATTTGTGGATGTTGAATAACGACAAGAGAATGGACAGAAAAAAATCGATGCTTACTTTCAAAAAACTTTCCTAAACCCAATCTTGACAATCAGTATTACAGCCTACTTTACTAATATTGAAATATGCAAGATTATGTATCCTCTTTAACACATGAAGACTTTGCTACCTTTGGATAGATTGCTATAGAGGACATATAGTTGTACTGTAAATTTATTTCATTATTTGATCCTAAATTGCTGTTTTTACTTTCCCTTTTGTCACGAACTACAGACAGTCATAATAATCTGGTTTTGTTTGACATTTCCAAACATGTAGGTGGGACAAACCAGCCCAGCGTGTTCTTCCTGAGCTCAGAAAAGGAGGACTGACTTTCCAACAGTGGCTTCAGAGATGGAAACTTGCAGCGAAAGCTTCATAGTTTTATACCTTAGGGGTTTTTCATAGAAACCGCACTGCATTATTCACCTTTTCATATACCGGTACATAATAACATTGTAAAATCAAACTGAAATGCAAATAAAGTTCATTTTCTTCTCCGTCTGTGTTTTGGATATTTGTTTATACCCATACCTGTCTGCATGTTTAAATCATACATTAAATTACCCATTTGATCCCCGTAGTGCTGGAATGTATGCGCACCGAATAGCCAATGATCGATACATGGTGATCATATACCTGTTCTGAATCGGTAAGGATTATATAAACATACTCTAGTATGCGAATACCTTGTATGCAGGGCTTTGTTTCTGCAGGTTTGTTTCCAGTAAGTGTCAGACAAACACGGGGCAACATTGTTCTTTTGTAGCAGTGAAGGGGGAGTGGAGCAATCTGATGCTTGTGAACTGATGCTCCTCCCATCGCTGCGGCTGCGCACTTCAATTTTTTACTCCGTTTTTTTTTCTTATTTTTCACTCCTACTCTGGCTTCCGGACGCCAAGATAGACCGCTGCCGCCGAATTTAAAGAGACAGGCGATAGTTATTTTAAATCCGTAAAACGACAACCATTGTCTACGAGCTCCACACTCAGAGCCTTCGTGCTTTCGTTAGCTTTATCCAACCGTGATGTTGAGTCGTAGTCGCAGCGAGTAGTAGCTTGTCTGTCATCACTCTCCACTCTGCTGGGTTTCTCGTCTTTTTTTTTGCCTGCTTTCCCCCTCCCTCTCTCTTTCTCTCTCTGCTCGTCGAGACTGTCCAGCTAAGCAAAGTAGGGTTGCTCGCTGGCAGGCTGGCTTCCCCACCGACAGCACGGTTTGTCGCGTAGCCAACAACTGGAGGTAACGCCGAAGCTTCCCTCTCAAGTTGTGGTAGCGGCTCCCCAGCCTCCCTACGCCGGGGATATAATGGCGAAGATTCAGGCGCACAGCACCGCGAAGCAAATAAACCAAATCCAAGACAAGCCTTACGTGATAACACAAAAGCAAGTGCAGCAGCAGCACTTCCAGAAGCTCAAGGTAAGAAAGGGGACACGACGAGGGAGGAAAAAAGTGTCTCAACCATTTTGTTGCTCCGGGGTTACCGTCGAGAGTAGTGAAAGCAACGGTTGGCTAACAGGAGTTAGCTCGCTGGGCTAATAATAAAAGTAATTCATCGCTGACCAGCCCGACACTGACATAAAAGGTTATACGTGGAAGCTGTTATGCCTTTAACGAATGCGTAACTGACCGCAAGAAGGCTCAGTTTGGTCTACTTTTTCTATTTTTTGTGTAGTATTTACGCCATCAGCGGCAGCTGCTGTGAGCAAACAGTCTGAGCTCGGTTGTGGGAAGTTCCTTGTTGGATTTTTTTTCTCTTTTAGCCAGCTCGAACAAAGTGGAGGACATAAGCCAAGCTAGCTACGAAAATGCGACTTCGGTTTATTTTTTTTATAGCTTCGCTTTCTTCGTGTATTTGTGGCTGCGGTGTTTTATTAAAACGGGTCCCTCCTGCCGACACAATACAGTTGGCCAGGAACCAGCGGGGACTGAACGCATTGTGTAAATGTATGCGGGTGGATGGAGGTAGTGTTAGGGGACTTAAAACCGTCAGTTGGCTAAACCTAGCTACAATAACTCCCTTTAGCTTGTGTCTGACCAAGCTTTCCCCTTTTTATTTCGAAGTATTGTTTATAAATGTCAGAAAACACGGCTAGCGAGCATTTATGCAGACTTCTTTGTTAAGTAGTGGACTTATGGTCACTTTGACTTGATAATGATTATACTTCTCAACCAAACCATTTTATTTGCAAGCTGTAAATAACAATAAATAAGTCAGTTCTGTTAATGCAGCTTGTTAGATTGCGCAGCACAAACTGCACGCAAAAAAGCGTTATTATTGAGTTAAGACATTGAGTACGAGATAAAACACAATATGTTTCTTTGATCAATTTATAATGTTTATAAATGCATGGTGAATCGAGGTGTTTAGATTAGTGGTTCTCTAAATCTCTAGCAGAAGGGGCCACAAAATATATTATGACAAATACATATAGGACCCATGCTATTGATTGACTGTACAGTAAGTTAAGCATGGATAAACATAAACACAGTGAGAAAACCTTATAATATAAATCAAGATATTTACTAAGTAGGCTTTTTTTTCATCAATGATTTAAAATGTAACTAATTCTGATGTTTAGATTCAATCACATTCAAATAAGAACACAGAAGAAAAATGTGTTGTGTGGTTTGAGTTTTATTTTGATGGGGAAATAAATGTATTAGGTTATCCCCACTGTTAAGGGAAAGCATGTATAACCATTTCAAGGTCTTGATCGATCCTAATTGATTTCAGACGGTGAGTTTGACTCGAAATAGTGACAGTCGAGTTTTTAAGGTTCTGTATTCACGTTGGCCAGTGCCAGTCAGGGTAATTGTTCAATTGATGAATTATCTTTGGTGTGTTTGTATTTTCTTAAACCAAAATGTTGTATGATGACTTATTTTTGCAGATAGTGAAAATGCAAAACAATAACAAACCATGATATCTGTTGAAGAAAGTGCAAAACAGTCCTCTGTTATATTTTGTCAAAGTAAAAATTGACACATAATACCTCAAGAGTGAAAAAGAAGGAAATTGTATTGGTCAAAGAAAAGCACAATTTGTTGTTCCAGAGATGAGAATATAAGCTACAAAAGAGAGATGTGTCTTTGTATTAGTTTTGGCCTTGGGAATGTTGAGTAAATGTCTAATTACCCGATGAGTCTCTGCTCATACCTGACGATGTACTCTGGCTTTTTGAAACGAGTTTATGAATGGTTAATTTATAAAATGAAACTTTTGATGTTAAAAGGCGAATCTAAATAGTAGATGCAGTATTCATTTTTACGTTTTTAGATCCATAGATTGTCTTGTTAGGTGTTTATTACTTCTCCACAGCATCTTCACTTCATCATGGACATAATGACATGTGGTTACTCTGATTTACACATCCCGTTTGAAGCTAATTGTGTTTTTCTTTCTTCTCCATGCCTTCTCTCTGTTTAGGTTGAAGATGCCTTGTCATATCTGGACCAAGTCAAAATTCGCTTTGCCAATGACCCTGGCATATATAACAAGTTTTTGGACATCATGAAAGAGTTCAAGTCACAGAGGTATTGCTGATAATATATCTAAACTGGAAATTGTGCATTAATGTTTAAACTTTAGCTGTAATATTTTTGATTTTATGTCCAACAAGTTTGTGCTCTTTTAATAGCTGAAAAAAACACCAAATAAATTTGCAGTTTGGTCTTTATCTGATCTGCTGTAGATAACCAGTTAGTTCCTTGTTTTTTCTAAGAAGAAAAATCAGTATGTTGATACCACTAGTCTGTTTCTAAAGACTGCTTTCTATGTGAAACACAGAGCAGCTGTTCACAACTGTCTTTTCTAATAATGTTTTTAATTATGCCATTTTTAAACAACTTGGAGTTGGAAATGACAGTAAAGGACTCTTTCATTTCTTAAAAAAGGAGTTTATGTATATTAAAATAATCAACAGATTTCATCAAGCCATTACAGGGTAGGAATGCAACCTTGGACTTCTCCTGGCATCATCTACTATATTTTTGCACAAAATAAAATTGGGTTTTCATAATCCTTTATAAAGCCATAGTTTCAACGGCTGCCTAGGTTTCATATGAACTAAATGTATACAGAGCTTTTCTATAAGAAGCTTCATCATAGAGTGACATTTTTTTTAACAGCATGCCTTTTAGTGTTGTCATCCTCCAAAGGGCTTTATACCATATCCACACCTACATTTGTGTAATGATATACAGATTTAAGCAACTTGGTGTTAAGTGCCTTACCCATAGGCACATTAAAATGTGAAGGGGAGCAGGAATGGAACCCCACAGCTTCTGATTGAAAAAAGGTTGCTCTACCCATTGAGCCAAATGTCCTGCCAAAAGTAAACAGAATGATTAACTTCTTTCCATTAACTTACCTTTGCTAAATGCAATGGGTTAATTTCTCAATAAGTACTGTGGTGCTTCTGTGCTTAACTCTAACAAACTTTGATTGTATGTTTAGTTGAGATCTATTTTCACATTACAATTACAAAGATTATAAAAACATTTCTAGGCAGACCTCCATTATATTCTTTTAATAGTATTTTTCTGTCTACTACCTTTAGACAAGTAGTAACGACAATCCAAATCTTGCTTGAATCCAATAATGTCGCTTGAACAAATCATTTAAGAATTTATTTATTTATTTTTTTGTCTCGTGTATAAAGAAGTTTTAAACTTGGATTGTTTGATTACTTTGCATCATTAGAGCTGATCAGGGGATGTTTTGGAAACTTATCTAATCATGCAACAGTTCACCTCTTTAAACTATAGAAACTTTTTAAAATAATTGATCTGGAATCTTTTTTTAGTTAAAAAAAAAATTTGTTTTTGAATCTGTTAGTATTTTAATGTGTAATAGCACTCTTGTGTCAGCCACATCATCTTGACCTCTATCTGGTTTTGTTAAATAGCATCGACACTCCAGGGGTTATAAACAGAGTGTCCCAACTATTTCACGGGCATCCTGACCTGGTTTTGGGCTTCAATGCCTTCCTGCCACCAGGCTATCGGATAGAGGTACCCAAAAATGGGGTGGCTTTCCTTCAATCGCCGTTCACTACACAGGTAAGACCTCCCCTTTCTCTGAACAACCCAAATATAAAATTTGATGGCGATTTCCCCCCCCCCCATCCCATTTCCTGAAAAATGTTTGAAGGGACTTTTAAATTCTGCGTAGCTTCATTTAAGAAAACTTTTCAACCTAGAAATAACAATTAGCCACACCATAAACTTTCCTGTTTGAAATAAAACATGATTCAGAATGGAAGTGGCACTTCTTCCTATACCTTTTATGTAATAACAAAGTTAGACACATATCCTTAACCATAGGTAATTAGGTTATTTTGATGAGGTGGTTTATTGTTTTCATGAATACATACAAAATAGGTAAAGCAATCAAATTTTGCACATCATTTTATCCTAATACAGATTTAGGAAAGCTTTTTCTTTCACAGCCACATAATCATATTGCTACACAGTAAAATTTCTTGAAAGGAAT